AGTCAGCACCTGACTTTCTCCAATTCCAGTCAAAACTCTTTGCCTGCCAATCAAACTGCCAACGCCTATATCAAGTTTTAAAAATACACACCTACGCATCAAACACAACTCTGCTCCGGTATCTACAAGTCCTTTGAATTCAACATTCGAACAAAATACGGACTTTACTTCTAAACCACAAGATGTATGAGAATGCTTCGGAATTATTTTCTCCGCCTGAACCACGTTAGTTCTTTCTTCCGTTTTGACTTGAGTCCCTACTTTACACTGCGCTGCTCGATGCCCTGGCTGATTACACTTGAAACATTTCGATTGTACTGGACAGTCTCTCTTCATATGAGACGGATCTCCGCACCTAAAACATTTCCTAACCGACTCTGTTGTCTTTTCGTTGACCGACTCTTTAAATACCTTACTGCTTTGGAGAGTGTACTTGTTGTCTGGCTTATACGAGCTTCTTGCCTTCTGGTATGCTTCAATCTGCCACTTCAACTCTTTCAGATTTCTAGCCTGATATAACATCGATTTATTCAATCTAGCATCTGGTATACCTTCTACGAAGTACTCGATTAGACTTTCGTCTTCCAACCGTATAGGCTTAGCTATCTCCATTAGGGCATATAAATACTCCTGTAAAGATTCACTTTTTTGCTGACGACGCTTTCCTAGCCTGCGATGAATCTCGGCTGTAGAAACCTGCACTCCGAACTCTTGTAGGAGAGCTAACTTCAAACTTTCCCAGTCCTTAATGTTTCTCTGGCTACGTACAAACATTTTGGCTGCTCCACATAGTAGCTGTTTTGCATAAACATACTGCTGCAAAGGGCTCCACTCTACGGTAGCCGAACAATCTTCCATCTCCTCAATCCACAAATCTATATTTGGGACACCTGAGCCAGAAAACTGAGAAACACTTCCTTCTACATCTTTCAAAGTAAACCACGATCTATGTTGGGAAACTTGGCCATGTTGGTTGTCTACTCTGTTGTGGTGGGTGGTTGGTGTGGCTACTGTTGACCTAAACTGTACGGGCTCACCCTCTGTCTCTGACTCACCCTCATCCATTAACCCAAAATGAGTTAGCAATCGTTGTTGTAATTCAGCTTTCAATCCGGTTGTATTCAACTGCAGCTCTGACAGCATCCGTCGCAATTCTTCCACTCGCAATGCCAAGATCTCGCTTCTCTCCATTTTACAAAAATATCCTGTTGAAAATTACAGTTAATATGATGACAAAATTGTGTTTTAACTCTAATCTTTCTCGATACAATTGTAAACAAACTAACAGTCCTGCTTTTGCTTCTTCACACATACATACAATCAGACTGTTACATAGCCTGCGACGACCCTGTTTCGCCTCGTGCTGTCTCGCTTCTTTTCACGTCCACCGCCTTCTTCTTCTTCACACATACGATCAGACTGCTACTTAGCCTGCGACGACCCTGTTTCGCCTCGTGCTGTCTCGCTTCTTTTCACGTCCACCGCCTTCTTCTTCTTCACACAGCTACCTACTACTTCGCAATGCCTCCAATTGGAATCCAATTTCTGAAGACTTGCAAAACCATGTGCCTTTGCTATGGCCAATAAGGTTCTGCTGATGTTCTACTGCTCCTGCTCCGCACCTTATCCCGCTTCGCCTCTGCTTGTCGAACTCCTGATCTTCTCTAGCTTGATCTGCTGCTTGATCCTCGTGTTCCAGCTCTCTTCCTCCAAGTCTGTGTTCCAATCTTGACATGCACGTTCTTGTCTGCGTGTTCCTCGAACGCCACCAAGTGTCTTGCCTTTCCTCGCCTTGCTTCTATTTTCTCCAGCCAATCCGCTGCTTCTTGAATCTTTGCTCTTTACCAGCCTGATTCGATGCAATCTACATTTAGACGCTGCCACTCGGTTTCGTCGTCGTCACTCGCTGCTTCCGTCTCACTCGCCCATGTGTGTGTCTGCTTTCCGCCTTTCGAAGAATTTCCTTACGCTTTGTGATGAAATTCTTTGCGCGTCCCTTGCTGTCTCTGTCACTCGTTGACCAATTTGCGTGGCTTTTCCGAACTCTTAACCAGTTCCAAAATGTTCTAAATTTGTCATCCACCTCACTGCACAATGTTTCTCGTTGACCAAATTGCGTGTCTTTCCCGAACTCTTAACCAGTTCCAAAATTTTAATTTGTCATCCACCTCACTGCACAGTGTTTTGTTAATTATATTTTATTAAGGTTCAAGTTGTCAAATGCTGGGCAATATCCTCGGTCGAGCCCCTAAAATTGCAGTGTCCTCTTTTAGAAAGTTGTAACACCGGCTTTGATTTAATGATATTGTTTAATACATTTAACTGGTAACTTGTAACTTAATTCAATCTTAATTTAACAAAACGTGGTTATCTTAATTTAGAACGTCCAAGCAAAACGAGATTCTGGCGGCGAATGCCTTTGCGAGGAGATGCCAGACTTATCTGCAATCGATTACTCCTTTTCAGTATATTCTATCGAAGGGAATCAGAGACTTAGTATGTGAGTCCGCTTCTGGTAACTTTAGCCACCCTACCAACACTACCGGATCCCACATATATACAAAATCATGGACTTAAATGACAATTTTTATGGGAAATACAGCTATCGAAATTATGAAATGAAGTTAAAATCAAACCCCAAAAGTAAAGCCTTCTTTAAGAAGTCTTTCTATATTTCAAGTGCAGTCTTTTGGCATTGGCAACAAGTTGCCATCGGCAGTTCCTGCTGACAGTTGCAGTTGCAGTTGCGGTTGGACTATCTGCCACAGTCTAATTGGCAAACTTATGGCACTCTCGCCGAGGCGATACTTCTGCTTCGATTTGCGGGGCGTATGAGTAATGTCAGGTCATCATTGTAGCGGCAAAGACTCGGCTGCTGCTGCAGCTGCATTCCTAAATGAAATGCAAATTTTAAGTGCCCCGTGCAGCTGGAAGTGCAGTGGAAACTCGAAATCGAAACTGGAACTCCGGCCTGGAACTGGATCTGGGACTGGACTGGGCGTGGATGTGAGAGGCGAGCGGCGAGCGAGGGACGAGCGACTAGGAGGCGGGTTTGGTATCACCATGACGTGGCCGGATTGGCTTAAAATAAATGTTATTATTTCGATAAGTTGGCGTGTTTTTGCGGCTGTGCCCACATTTAATTATGCCGCAAACCGGACAGGCGAAAAAACCAAAATCAATATCGCTTCGTGCCGACTTTTTAATGAACAATTGTCGGGGCACACAATTTTAGCACATTGTAAATAAGCAATTGAATTGGCGCTGGAGTGGCGCTGCGCTATTGGCCCGAAGTGAGTGGCTCGAGTGCCGCTGATATCTGGGCTCTGATCCCAAAATTCAGGCTTCCATTCGAACTGCAATTCGCAGCCCGTTCGCTTTAATCAAATTCACATTAACAACGCCGCACAGGCAACTGCAACTGCAACAACTGCACACAACACGGGCGGCAACAACGGCGACTTTGGTGCAGCTGCAGCTAAGAAGGCAAGTCACAACTGCATTTTGTTTTGGGCCACGCTAATAACTCGACACTCAAGCCGGGTATAATGGACCGAGTGCTGTCGTTGGGAGGTCAATAAAAGTTATGAAATCGGTTATTTGGGTCAGTGCTTGTACCATATTTTTTTTTGGAATATCGACAAGGAATGTAAACTGAATCATTGATTTGATTAGCTTTGGCTTGTAGATAAATTAAATTTGGTTTTATGTTACTATTACGGTACTCTTTGGTAGTAAAAGCAACTAATATTATAGTGCTACATATATATTTTTTTAGAAGTCTAAAACGAGGATCTGTATATCGGAGTAGGAAAGTCTGATATATCGAAAAAAATATCTCAATATCATATCGAAAATATCGATAAGTTGTAAAAAAGAAAAACAATTGAACTTCAAAATATCGTAATTATTTGTTTTCCGATTAAAACCGGTTCGAAATATCAAACAGTATTGATTTCTATATAGGCCGTTGTATCGGATATTGATTCAAAATCGATAAAAATATTATTTCCTGCCTGGTAAAAATGTTGAATTTTCTTGCACTCAATGTTTATCCAAAATAAAATTAAGCAGTATCTCTTCATAATTTGCATGTATACTTTTTGTTTAAATTATTAATTGGTACTTAATTAGATAATTTTTTATCAGATTTTCAATATGGCACTTAATAATGACTTTTCAATGATCTATTTTGTAAAACAGTTTCACCAATATCCATATGACTTAAAGAATAATTCTCGATATATGTATGTTATAATATTCTCCAGAAACCTTTAAAGAGATAATTTTAGTACCTGTTTCTATTTAAATATATATATTTAAAAGCTAAATTTACATCAATTTAAGTGACTTAACATATCAATAAACTTTCAACTTGATCTTGAGATCCCACGGTACCACCTCGTTCGATCGGATCGATCCCTATCCCTGTTTAGTTATGGATTTTTAAAGTTTTTGTCTCGGTACACGCCCCATAAAAAAAAGAAACTAAAACCAAAAAAAAAACCGAGTGCAACAATAGCAAGCTCAGTCGCTTGTTTGGACAAGTTACCAAAAATAGACCACAGCCGCTGCAGTCGAGCGCTGCAAAGGCTAAGTCGGCTCAAATTGGTGTGCTGGCTAAGACGGAAAGCCAAGTCTAGAAGACAAAAATGTTATGAGAGGGAAACTGCCGATAATTGCTGTGGTTTTATGGCCGAGAGTAATTCATATATAGAAAATAGCTGCAGTGCAAATCGCGTTGGACATTTACGGCAACGGCTATGGCGATGGCGATGTCGAAAACCGGACCAAAGACCGATAATTGAAATCGGAGCGAGAGCTGGAGGTCTGGAGAGCTGGAGCTGGAGCCGGGAGATGAAGCCGGAATAATTTGCATGCCCAAGGTTGACGCCTCTAATTGCAGCCACGGGTCGGTGCATTCGTTGCATGAAATTGCGGGTTTATGCGTTTCCGGATCTGACAGTTATTACCGCGATACGCCCCGTAATGAACTCGTCTAGGTTTTGCTCCCATGGACAGATATTGATAAGCCAACCGGCTGGTCGGTATCCCCAACTCCAACTCCAACCCCAATTCCATTCCCAATCCCAATACCAATCCCGGCTGCATGTGGCAGTGCAATTTATGGGATCAACAGACCCGTTAGTGCCAAATTACAAATGGGCCCATGGCAGCCAAGTGCAAAACAGACGTGGCAATAACCAACAAGACATTAACCCGGCGCGGCAAGCTGCAGCGCATGCCTCGATACCTCGACAACGATACCCTTCGCCCCGGTACATCGGTTACCCTGATTCCTCGACTCCTCGATGACTGCCCAGCTGCACTGCGTTTTGGTCGCATATGCTCCATCGCCCAATAATTGCCAGCTTTGGAGCAGGACCCCCCTCTGTACACTGAGGGAAATTTACGGTAATAAGATGCACCTAATTTAGGATATAAATTAATTTGGAATTTTGCTTAAGCGAAAAATATCAAGATTTAGAACAGCTTATATCACTAAATGCTTAATTATAAATTTGTTGTTCTTTAACAAGAGTTAAATTAATTTTTAACTTGGTTTACTTTAAGAAAAGTTTTCAGCAAATTCAAGGGATAGCAAAAAATATATATAAGTAAAATTAATACCAAACAGTTTTAATTATTAAGCAACTATCTTATTAAAATGGGAAAGTACGAATTCATTTGAATTATTTGTATATAGTAAGAAAATAACTCTTATTTTATAGTTTTCATTGTAAATATTATGTGTGTTAAACTCCCGTAAATTCTAGATAACCCATTCTAACTTAAAGGTCTTGCGTGTCACAGAATTAAGACTTGAGAATTACTAGCACTCTTTGGAGCACCTTTTCACTACAAATTCCCAGGTCTGAATTCTGTTCCACTGTAGTTGATAAATACAGAAGATTGCTAATGACTTTCCATAAAGCATACAAGGGTAACTATATAAAAACCTAGCTGTCCGTGGCTTTTGAGAGATTATTATCTATATATGATCTAGTATATATTGTCTTAGCTCAATTTATGTATATTAAATCAAGCAGATTAGAACATAAAAAGAAGTATGGGAAGCAGATAAAGTTAAAAAAAAGAAACAACAAATTATTAATATTTTTCAAAAGTAATTCTTCATATTATAACATAAACTTCTCTCACAATATCATTTAAGATAATATTTTTGAAGTGCACTTGAATCAGAGGGAGGCTGGAATCGAAGCCAGCGGCGATTCGGCCAGATACGAGTGCAGTTGCAGTTGCAAGTCGCAGAGCGGCGATCCAGCGGATTTGCCAGAACGCCAGAGGAACAGAGCGCCGGTGCGACGGGATGACGGAGGAACTAACCGTCGCTGGCCACAAAAGCATAAAACAATAAAGTTGGGCGCTGCGCAAAGAATAATCGCATAAATCATGCGGACTCGCGGCGGCGGCGTCTAAACTCCACTAACGGCAACGAGGCTAGCTCCGCAACTCCGCAACTCGGCAACTCGGCAACTTGGAGCTTGGGCCTTGGATGGCCAACAGTCTGCACCCCAGCAGCAGTACAGTGGCTAAAAAATCGTAATTAAATTACAAATGTGGTTAGCATATCTCTAAAATTATTATATGCTGATAATAAAACAATTATGGCCACAAATTCAAATTCAAAAATTAATGATGTTTACAATTTAAGTGCCAATTATGTGAGCTAACCAGCTTCTGTTTTATAATTCGCGTGGCTTACAATTTAATTACTGTCTTGTCTAAGTTTTATAAATGAAATGTACATAATAAAATAATAACACAGCTTTGAGAAGTTAAATCTTAAATAAATAATAAATAAATAAGCTCTGGAATGTCGGTATTTTAGGTGTATTTTATCTAGTTCTAATTTAATTATCTTCAAAAACAAAATGTATGATTAAATAAAGTAAAAGTGTGACTATTAAATAGAGTCTAGTTCTTATTAACTTCTTTTGGAAGTTTAAATGTTTAATAAATTAAAGTAAAAATGAAGCAATTGAATAATGCCTTCTTCAAATGATTTATTGAGCTTTTTTAACCCACACTTAAACTCTTATTCTAGTTCTAGTCTAGTTCTTATTTACTTTTTCTGAACAATAAAATGTATGCTAAGATAAAGTAAAAGTGTATCTATTAAAAATTCCCTTCTTCAAGTGATTTATTGAGTTTTTTAACCCAATTTAAACTCTTATTTATTTACTTATTTCACTAATTTGGAAATAAAATAAAACCAAGATTCTCAGAAGACTAGCTTTAATCCGCGTTGACATTCCACCCATTGTACTTGGCTCGCTTAGAACGAGACCCACTGTGCCACAATGCGGCGGCAACACTTTTCTTGCCTTAAGCCAAATTTATAGCGATCTAAGTAGGTATAAAGCGCTCATTTTGTGGCAACAACAGCGATGGCAACGGCCACAGCGACGGCGACTTCGTTACGTTTTCGAGGAGTGGCCAACAGGAGTGCAGCCTTTGTTTTGGCCATTTCCCCTCCCCCCCCCCTTTTGCCCGCATTGTTTTTGCCTTTGTAATTTCTTTATCCCGTTGGCAGTTTACTGGCTCTGCTCTCTTCTGCCAAGAACAATAGAAATGCATTGCACGAAAGCCGCCAGAAGAGCGGAAGACCCAAGACAGAGCCAAGGCAAGAGAGAGAGATTGTCCAAGGCCCGAAAAACCTGCGGCAGCACTAAACCGTTGACATGCACTGAGAATTTAGGTAATTAAAGGTTATCTCATTAGTTAACAATTTAGTTAAAAATAATGCTTAATTTAATGTACTTAAGTATAGACTCGACTTTAATCCAGATGACCCACAAAAGACAAGTGCAGCAGGTGATTTGTGCATTCTACTTCGCTTACCTCATCTGTAACCTTCGCTTTTGATAAAAAACCGACTATGAATTTTCCGTCAATTATCAGCTAAAATTACTCAACATTTTGTCCCAGTGCATTAGAATGCGGGCGCGGTTGCATATGCAACCCACAAAAAGGGGATAATAAAAAGGGGGTCCTACCTCTGCTCACTCGTGCGCGATTTTAAAAGAACTTCTTGCAGGGACTTTCAGTTCGTTTGCCCGCTCGGCCTTTGTTGTGGTAAACAGTTGGCCAACAGTCGCCGGGATTGGCCAAGAGGGGGCACAGGAGCAGATGGGAAAGCATTGCCGGATAACTGGGACAAAGTTTGGGCCAGCAAAAAAAGGATCAGCTTAAATCAGGAGAGTCGCCATGTGCGGTTACTCAAGGCAAACAGGCTCAGGTAAGAGGCGAATCATTAGGATACAGTAGGGTAAAGAAAATAAGTTAATTGAATTTCATAAAATAAAATAAAGAAAATAAATTTAAAGATCTTTTATTAAGAGTTTAACTTACAACTAGCATTACTTCCTGTATTCAATTTATTTAGAAACCAATAAACAAATTTGTGTTTGATTGTAAGACATTTCTAAATAATTTGATGTATTAAGAAGCAGCTTACCAATTCTTTGGACTATATTTCTTTTTGTGCCAAATGGCAGACAAGAAATTCCTTTTATTTGATTAACTTGAACCCAAATCGCTGGATAGCCGCCCCCGGGCAGCAAAAGCCTAGACAAATGGGTTTCTAATGCCTCCCAATGGGGGTCAATTCGAACAACTTCGAGGAGAAGAAAATCAGCCATTAATCACTTGATATGACAAAATGCAAGGCAAAGTTCCAGGCTTTCAATGATTCCAGTCGGGGGCAATGGGCTGGGACAGGGGTGTTAGACAGGTCAAACTGGTTTACTGCCGCTCCAGCGCCTGGATCCTGCTCCTCGTGCTCCTGCTCCTTCTGCGCCGGCTTCATTATTATGCGCGCATTGTGCGTGGAAAGGCAACAGGAACTGGGAACTGGGCATGGACATAGGAATTTGTATGGCCTGGCCCTGGCCAAAACTTGAAGCGTGCTCCGATTCTCAATTGCAGGCAGCATGGTGCATATGCCTCCAGGGACAATTCATGCAGTTGACAGGAGGCGAGCAGGGAATCGAGATCCGGGGGGGTCTTGGGGATCGGGAATAGGAAGGTTTCCAGGGGATCCGGGGACCCGGGCCCATGGTGAATCGTAAAAGGAAGCCCGGCAAAAACTCTGCAAACTGCAAGCTCGCAATTAAACAAAGCCCTTTTTGCGATGTCCGCCAGACGCAACGCGGTGGCAACGTGTTGGCATTGCATGTTGCCAATGCACCAGACACATCAGCACACACAGAAACAAAAGTACATAAATATAAGAGTTAATATAGCTTAAAATATGCAACTAAATAACACATAAATATGTTTATTTTAAGGTGGAAATCTTTAGGAATGTAAGCATTGTCCTCTGAGGGATTCCTCCTTAAAATCTTCTCAGGTTAGCGTTGAGATTTGATAAAAACAATGTTAATAATATATATTATAGGATACTTTTCTTATTTCTTAAGTTTCTGATATTCAAATGAATTTTTAAGGCTTAAATGGAAATAGAGAAACCAACATTAGTCAAACATTAAATGTAAATAAGTGCAAGTAAAGAAAAGGGAAGGGGCTTTAAAGTTTAAAATACTTTTCTAAATCTGGTACAACAACATTTCAAGACAATACTTCAAAGTAAGTATATTTTAACAACCTTAAATCACCAATACTTAAACTTTAATTAAAAACCCTTGTAAAATTAAACAGCATACCAATTTTTTCCTGTGTATCTCTGACTCCACCTCAAAGGACTCTAAACGCATTTCCGCCAGCGTCGCGACGCTTTGCATTTTATGCAAAACTGGCCTATCAGCTCGATCTCTGGGTCTGCGTGGATGGTCCGATGATGGGGTGGAGCTCGGGCTCGAGTTGGAGCTGGAGCTGGCCACCATCCTTGGCCATCCAAATGTGGGCCCGGCTCCAATGCTTGTCATATTTAGTTGGCAGAACAAAGCGTTCGCCATAAACGCTTGCAAATCGCCACCAAATCGCTGGGGAAAACGCTTTGCTTTCCAACATGTTGAATTTTAAAGCGTTTTTAAACGCTAACAAAACGGAGCGAATACGTTAAGGAATCGAAAACTGTAAAAGGACAAGGGATATTTGCATTTATCCATCAACAATGAATGAATTGTTGCAAAATGGTAGTTAAAAAGCGCTTAGCCAAAAAACAACTTACGTTTTATGGAGTCTTTTGAATATTTCGAATGTTTTCAATGCACAACAATGCATGAGATAACATATTAGTGAAATATAAACTTTTTCCCATTATATTGCAAAATTTTTTATATCATCTTTTTGTGTTCTTATTATTTTCTTTATATTACATTTGTTTTATCGAGATCTTTAGAAAACATTTAATTAGTAAGCTATAAAATGTTTACAATAGATCGTGTTACATTACATAACATTTACCATTTCTTAAATTAAATTAAATTAATTTAAATTATATTAATACCAATAAAATACCAATACCAATACCAATATACATACCAATATATAAAACATTATATATTTATTTTAATATTTTATATATTGGTATAATATGTAAAATGTTTACAATAGATCGTGTTACATTACATAACATTTACCATTTCTTAAATTAAATTAAATTAATTTAAATTATATTAATACCAATAAAATACCAATACCAATACCAATATACATACCAATATATAATATATATATAAAATAAATATGATTACTGTTTGAAAGTATGTAAAAGTGCTTACAATATTTATTTAACGTTTAAAATTAAAGAGATGGTATTGGAATTTACTATATTTTTGAATAGCTTTAGCTTTTATAAAATAATTTAATAAAAATTAAAATTTTGGTATTATTAACCATAGACTACAAAAAAAATCTACCTTAGCAAGTTAGTAACTTAATAGTTATCAGCTACATTTTAAACCTTTATACTGTATTATTTATTAAATTTATTTAAAGCTATTCAACCCTATTTTTAGGAGATTACAGTAAAAACAAGTAAATAAAATGTTCTTAATTTAAAGATGACAGAATATATCATCAACTTAATAATATCCCTACTCCTTTCTCATTTAATAAAATTGGTTTCTCCACAAATGGTCCCGAATCTGTGGCAAAGAACACAACTTCAGATGTGTTTTTCTCGGGACTCTGAAAATTGTTCAACCAGTGAAAATCTACCTCACACTCTGTATCTAGTTATGCACTGACAAAAAGAGAGTACACTTCTAAACATGTATGCATCAAATTATAAAATCACAATATAATTAATTCAAATAAGTTTTTTTCCTATTTTCAAACTCTTTGATGAGTTGGAATAGGAGTTACATTATCTTAAATTTAGAGTAAACAAATTCCTGAACATAGAATAACAATTTTAAAATAAGACCATTACAGAATTTCGAGATTATATTTCAGGATTTTTTTTCCAATAGTGCATGGGGGGGAAAATAAACTGGGGCCTCAAAAAAATGGTTACCCCAATTTAGGTAAAAAAAACTTCAGATGAACTGAGGCGTGCCGAAAATTCACTGGCCGTGTCCACAATGCAAA